TTGTAGTATGAATCGAGGCCTTTATGTTGAAGGGCTAAAATGGATAACATACAGTTGGGGTCCCCACTGTATGTTATCCATTTTAGCCCTTCAACATAAAGGCTTTGATTCATTGCAAGTGAAAATATGGGGCAGAGAAGTTGGGGAAGGGGGATCTCTCTTTTTGAGCAAAGAGGATACACACACATACACACACATCACTTTAAAATATATAAAATTATTTCTCACATTAATTTATGTTTTATTAATATTAGTTTTAATTCCTCATTTAGGAACCTAGACTTTAAATTTAAAATCAAATGGACTGGATACAGTGGCTTACTTCTATATTCCCAGCACTTTGAGAAACTGAGATAGGAGGATCACTTGAGGTCAGGGGTTCAAAACCACCTTGGGCAACACAGAGTCTCTACAAAAGATCCCATCTGTACAAAATAAATAAATAAAATAAAATTTGCTGGGCATTATGACATGTGCCTGTAGTCCCAGCTACTTGGGAGGCTGAGATGGGAGCATCACTTGAACCCAGGAGTTGGAGGCTGAAGTAAGCTGTGACCTCACCACTGTACTCCTGCCTGGGAAACAGAGTAAGACCCTGTCTCAAAAAATAAATAAAATAAAATAACATTAAAAAGTGACTCTCTTAGTGTGGTAGCAAGATTTCGGTTCCCATGATCTCTGTCCCCTATTATTAAACCTATAAATATGTTAACATTACACAACCAAAGAGACTTTGCACATGGAATAGCTGATAATCAACTGACTTTAAAGTAGATGTATTAGCCTGTATTATCCAGGTGGGTCCAATATAATTACATTAGCCCTTAAAAGCAAAAGAGGAAGGGCAGAATAAGAGCTCAGAGAGATGGGACAGAAAAGGCAGGAGAGATTCAAAGCGTAAAATGTCCTCAATCCTCTGTTGCTGCTTTTGAAGATGAAGGCATCCATGAGCCAGGGAATGTAGGTGATCTCTAAAGCTGATAAAAACCTCTGGCCAAAGCCAGCAAGGAAACAAGGACCTCAGTTTAACAACCACATAAAACAGAAGTCTGTCAACAACCTGAGTGAGCTTGGAAGCAGATTCATCACCAGAGCCTCCAGAAAAATAATGACAATATTTTGACTTCATCTTTGTGAGACTATTTAAGAAAAGAACCCAGGTCAGTCAACCAGAATTCTTATCTATAAAGTTGTGAGATATAAAACGTGTGTTATTTTAAACTGTTATATTTGTAGTAGTTTGTCATATCAGCAAAAGAAAGATAATACGCTTAGGCTCTTCATCTCTAAGAGAAGGATAATAGTTTTTTCTTTTGGAATGTGTGATGATTTAATGAGTATGCATACAAATACTTTATAAATTGATTAGAGTACACAGCATATACTGAGCATCCAATAAATGGCTGTAAGTGATGTTACATTAAAAATAAATTCTAACTGTGCACTTATGATGTATTTTGCCATTCATTATCAGATTTTATCCTTATCACAATCCTGATAGGTAAGCAAGGTAAGAATTTTTCAACCTACATAATAGATAAGAGTCTAAAACACAAAGAGGCTTTTACTTGCTCACAAACCAATTACTAATAAGTATAAAAGAAGGGACTGAACTGAAGACCTCTGACTCCTGGTCAAATGTTATTTCCATAGTTTATTTAAAACATGAATATTTCTGGAAGAACTTTCTATGATGGTGAGAATTTAGTTATGCTATTGGGAGTGGAAGGAATACCTTTTATTCGACTTGTTGTTTAGAAGCCTCCAATGTAGCACAGGGCTGGCCTAGGCTCTTGGAATGAATATTTGCAAGAAATATCGTTTCACAAAGGGTCTGCTTGGAGACCATCCTAGGAGAACAGTGACTATAGGATAGGGAGATTTGGATAAAACCATGTAGAAACCAGCACTAAGGGATTTAAGAATCTGATATAGCTGTCTGAAGAGCAAAAACCATGTAGTTCTTAAGCCCAGAGCATTCTGGTTTCAGCCAAAGCCATTAATCCTCTCTGCTTCCTGCTTCTTCAGCTTACCCACACACCCCTCCCAACAGCTTCACAGTTCAACTTTATTTCAAAGTTCAAGAATCTCAGATATAAATCCAGCATATCTGAAGCTAGAAAGCAACCACAGTAGCAAAGGCTACTTTCATATGTCCAAATCAAGAAACACAATAGTACAGGATATCCATAAGGAATACTGTCCATATCTGGATAAATGGTGAACCAAGGCAGAATTTTCTGCTCCAGAAGCTGATGGAAGAAAAGTTTTCTCTATTCTGCAGATTGTGCCAATGCATTAATCCAATGCTTATCTCTGCCCAGCCATCACACACTTGACACTATGTGTCAAGGTGGGGAAGGATGCTAGGAAATTCATGGAATTTACCACACAGCAAAAACAAGATTATCTGTGTGATTGAATTTCTTTTTGCTACACAAATAAATTTAAGGAACAGATTATAAGTTAGCTATAAGTTTGGGACATTTCACTTCCTCTACTGAGCCTTAATTTCCTTATTTATAAGATAAATTGGTTAAACTAGACATTGACTAAACTTCTAAGTCTAATAGTCTATAATTCAGAGAAATATTAACTGAGAATAAAGCAGGAGCATAAAAGTGGCACTGGGTCCCTTTGTACCTTTCTTTCCCTATGTGTAAGTTTTGCTTAGAATTAGAAACCTTCAGGGATAATAAAGGAATACAAGAAATATGGAAGTCAAATATTATAATAAAATGTTGAGATAATTAATGCTATAAAAATTATTGACTATATGGCATGTGACAGATCCTGTACCGAGACTGAGGATACAAATGTAAAACAGGAAAAATGTCCTCCTGGGTACAGACAAAAACATAACTAACATTTACCATAAAACACAATTAAATAACAAACATAACACTTTAAATACTGTATTGTTTTCCATTTGAAAAAGACAACCATAATTTGAGAAGATCAAAGAGAGTATAAAATTGAATAAAGGAGGTTGCATTTGAGTGAAAATTTGGAAGCTATATTAACATTAGAATAAATGAGACAGACATTTTATAAGAGTTAATACTTATACCTCAAAAAATGTTGTTCTAACAAAGGAATATTTTTAAAATAAATATTCTAGTGTGGCAATAGATATTTATGTGAAATCTATAAAAATCTTTATACTTAGTAGTGAAACATTAAAAGAATTCTTTCCAAAGTTGGGAAGAAGATAAAACTGGCTGCTAACACTAGCCCTATTCAATACAGTACTAAAAATTCTGGCCAATGAATTAAGCTAAGAAAAAACTGAATAAATCTTAGAAAAAAAAAGAGAAAAAGCATCAGTTTGCAATTGAATAAAAAAGAGTTTACTGTAAGTTGGACAAATAACAAATAAAAATACACTAGTCAATATCCTTTGCAAACAACAATAACCAATTAAAAATGTAATGAAAGAAAAAAGCCATTCATATTAGCAACAAAACTATTACAAATGTGAAATATATATAACAAAATATACACAAAATCTACTTGAAGAAAACTGTACAACTTTATGAGGAATTTCTGCTTATGGCTATGATGGACAACTTTTTATAACAGACCAACTCATCCACCAAGAAAATCTAAAAAACTTCCATAAAATGTGTGTGTGTGTGTGGGGGGGGGGGGGGGGGTGTATGTATTATTTCACCAGAGAGCCAACATGAATAGGATTTGAAGGGCAAAGATTTTGGAATTAAAGAAAACTTACTGAGGTGAGCCTGATATACTATACTTCTTAACCCTGTCAGAATTTGCTGACTGGTAAGTTACCAAGTAACTAACACAGCCAGAAAGGCTGAAAAGTCAACCAGAAAGCTGTGATTAAGAAATACAGAAGTGGAGCACAGTATTCTATACTATCGTGGAGATGGTGAGACAAAAATCAAAGTTCAGGGCTTCATATAACCCAGGTTTTGAAAACCAACATCCAGGAGAAAGGAAAAGAGCCAAGAAATGAATCTGACAGTCTGAGCCACGTTTTCCAGAGAGGAATTTACTGATTTATAAATGGTTCTGTTGGAAAACTGAAGCAGAAAAAAATATGTTAAAATGATTACAAGCTACTACTGAGCAGTATCATGGAGTTTGAGGCCCAGTAAGGTCAGTGTCCCTGGTAAATCCTAAAATTTCAGCTGGAATGCTGAAGGACTACACAAAGAGTAAGGATGGAAAAGAAAGACATGATTATCTCTTTAAAAAAGGTAAGAGAGGACTTTGGATTCCAGACAAGATGAAATAGACTCATTTTCCCTGTTCCTCTCAAGTTTTTACAATTAAAACTCTAGACATAATACAGCATAAAATTTTAAAAAGCGGCTTAGAAGTGGAAAGGAAAAGGCAAACCGGCTAGGGAACTTGGAACTTAAGAAATAACATGGTAGGGAGTTGAAACAACACGGCAGGGAGTTCCCTGCATTTTCTTTTTACCTCCCCCAAATTCCAAACTAGGAGTTAGAAAAGTGTGCAACAGAGAACCACCAACAGAGAGAGATAAAAAAAAAAGTCCCTAAGAAAACTCTGTTCTCTCTAGCCAAAGGATCAAGAAAGGGACATCTCAGAAAGACAGAAAACTTATTGACAATACCTGCCCTCCCCTAGCCAAACACCACAAACAGTCCATCACCAGTAGTGGAAGAGGAAGCCAAGTGAGGGACCCAAACTTTCAACTCCATCCAGAAGCACAGGTAGTCTGAGGTGATGATTTTCTCCTCTGTGGACCGAGCACTGGCAGAGGCTGAGTGAGGAGTCTAGACTCTAAACCCTTCCAACCAGGAAAAGCAAGAAAAACAAGAGAGCCAGGAGATCATTTATTATTATTATTATTAGCTCTCAGTGTCTAAGGAAATTGCTGTCAAATCACTAGCTGACCACTAAGTGAAGAAAACACAGACTTCAGTGACCACAAAACACAGAGAGTGCAGTCTTCAAAAAAGAGTTTAGAGGAAGGAAGTGGAGTAAGATGGTTAATTATAACCTTCCAGTGATTGTCCCCCTGCAAGGGCACCAAATTGAACAACTATGCATGCAAGAAAGCAACTTTATAGGAAAAAAATACTCATGTAAGAGATCAAATTATCTGGTTTTAATATTTCATATAATATCAAGGAAGGAGGCATTGAAGAGGGTAAGAAATTGCCTACACCACCCTTCCCTCTCCTCTATCCATTCCTTGTGGAGAGAGAGAATCTGTGTGCTTAAAAGAGGGAGAGCAAGGTGAGTATGGGACTTTGTATTGAAACTCAGTAGCTCCGTCACAGTGGAACATAATATAAGGTAGAATTCTGCTGGTGCCACAGTGCATCTACACCAGCGCTAGGACAGAGGGTAATTCTGCACCCTCACAAAAAAAGTCAAGTCCAGGTCAGCTCCACCATCAGCCAACAAAAGTGGCCTGGGGCCCCAAATAAACTTAAGTGTCTGTCAGGGCACAAAGAATGCAGGCCTTAGGCAAGTCCTGGTGCTGTGCTGGTCTCAAAGGCAGTGGACTTGGACTGTGCATGACCCAGTGCAACACCAGCTATGATATGTGGGTCCTGCATCACCCTTTTTCCCACTCCAGGCAGTGCATCTCAGGAAAGAAACTCCTTCCACTTGGGGTAAGGAGAGAGAAGAGTACAGAAAATTTTGTCTTGCAACTTGGGTGCCAGCTCAGCCACAGTAAAATAAAGCACCAAGCAACTTCCTGAATCACCTAATTTCTGACCCTAGATCCTGGATGGCATTCCTAGACTCACCCTGGGCCAGTAGGGAATGATTGTCTTGAAGGGAAGGACCCAGTCCTGGCAGGATTCACCACCTACTGACTAAAGAGCTCTTGGGCCTTGAATAAACATCAGTAGCAGCTAGGCAGTAGACGCCACGGTCCTTAGGCAACACCCAATACTATGCTGGCTTCAGGTGTGAACCAGCACAGTCCTGTGGTGGTTCACACCTGAAGTGGTAATGAACACATCACCATGGAGTGTTCACATGGGAGTGTTCACATCACCTCTCCCCAACTCCAGGCAGCCTATCATGGAAAGACAGACTCCTTCTAATTAAGGGAAGAAAGGGGAAAAGAGACAGGTTTTGCCAGGTATTCTAGGAATTTTCCCTTATCTTATTTAGGCCCACCAAAAAAGTGCCTCTTGGAGTCTGCAAGAGTCACATCATTCTTGAGTTTAGTGTGCCCCCAAGTGCTGATACAGCTGCAGTGATCCCAGGCTTAAATCATAAGACATATGAGAAAGAGGATCAACAAAACCAGAAAACAAATGACAAAATGGCAGTAGGAAATTTGTACCTATCAATAATAACCTTTAACGTAAATGGACTAAATTCGCCAATAAAAGACATGGAGTGGCTGAATGGATTTAAGAAAACAAAACCCAACTCTATGCTGTCTGTAAGAAATTCACTTCATCTGTAAAGATGCATGTAGACTGAAAAGAAGAAAGGATGGAAAAAGATATTCCATGCAAATGGAAATCTAAAACAGAAGGATTAGCTATCTTATGTTAGATAAAATAGATTTCATGACCAAAAAAAAATCTATGAAAAGAGAAAAAGAAGGTAATTACATAATAATAAAGGGGTCAATTCAGCAAGAGGATATTACAATTTTAAATATCTATGCACCTAACACTGGAGTACTCATATATATATACACACACACACACACACACACATATGTATACATATATATACACACACTTATATATATGTATATATGGCAAATGTTATTAGAGCTAAAGAGCAAGATAGACTCTAATACAATAATAGCTGGGGACAACAATATCCGACTTTCAGCATTGGACAGATAATCCAGACAGAAAATCAACAAAGAAACATCCAAGGTAATCAGCACTATAGACCAACTGGACATAATAGACATTTACAAACTATTTTAACCAAGAGTGGAGAATACACATTCTTCTCTTAAGTATGTGGAACATTTTCGAGGATAGACCATATGTCAGACCATGAAGCAAGTCTCAAAAAATAAAAAATAAATAAATTACATAAAGTATATTTTTCTAACCACATGGAATGTAACTAGAAATTAATAACAAGAGGATTTTTGGAATTATACAAACACATGGAAATTAAACAATCAGTTTCTGAATGACCATTGGGCCAATAAACAAAGTAAGAATATATTTTTTTTTAATTCTTGAAACAAATGAAAATGAAAACACAATATACCAAAGCCTATGGGATTTGCAAAAGAAGTACAAATAAGACAGTTTTTAGCATAAACACTTAGATTGAAAAGGTGGAAAAGCTACAAATAAATAACCAAATGCTGCATCTGAAAAATTAGAAAAGGAAGAGTAAAACAAACTCAAAGTTAGTAGAGGAAAGGAAGAACAGAGCAGAAATAAATGATATTGACACTAAAACAATACAAAAGATCACCAAAATGAAAAATTGTTTTATAAAAAATAAACAACATAAACAGACATTTAGCCCAACTAACTTTAAAAAGAAAGCAATAAAAGATCAAATGAGTAAGATCAGAGATGAAAAAGAGACATTATAAATGATATCACAGAAATTAAAAGGATCATTAGAGATTATGTGCAATTTTATGCAAACAAGTTGGAAAACCTAGAAGAAATTGATAAATTCCTAGACATATACAACCTACAAAGATTGAACTGTGAAGCAATCCAAAAGCTGAGTAGATCAATAAAAAGTAATGAGATAGAAGCAGTAGTAAAATGTCTTCCATCAAAGAAAAGCTCAGGACCTGATGGCTTCACTGCCAAATTCTATCAAACATTTAAAGAAAAACTAATATCAATTCTATTCAAACTGTCCCAAACAAATGGAGAGGGAGTACTTCCAAACTCATTCTATGCGGCCAATATTACACCAATACCAAAACCAGCCCTAGGCCAGAGGAAGACACAACCAGAGGAAGACTCAACAACAAACAACAAACTTCAGGCCATGTGTGTACCTATGCAACAATCTTGCATGTTCTTCACATGTACCCCAAAACCTAAAATGCAATTAAAAAAAAAATGCAGGCCAATATCACTAATGAACATAGGTGCTAAAATCCTCAAGAAAATACTAGTAAGCTGAATTCGATAACACATGAAAAAGATCACTCATCATGACCAAGTGAGATGAGTCAGGAATAAAAGGATGTTTCAACAAATGCAAACCAATCAATGTGATACCTTATACCTACAGAATAAAGGACAAAAAGCATATGATCATTTTAATTGATGCCAAAAAAGTATAAAATTCAACATCCCTTCATGACAAAAACTCTCAAAATCTGAGTACAGAAAGAATATATTTCAACATGATAAAAAGCCATATATGACAAACCCACACTAGTATCATACTGAGCAGGGAAAAATGGAAAGCCTTTCCTCTAATATCTGGAACAAGAGAAGAATGCTGACTTTTGTCACTTTCATTCAATGTAGTACTGGAAGTCCTAGCCAGAGCAATTGGACAAGAGAAAGAAACAAGGGACATATAAACTAGAAAAGAAGAAATCAAATTATCCTTTTTTGAAGATATAATCTTATATTGTTAAAAACAAAACTATTCTACCAAAACCTATGAGAACTGATTTTAAAACCTAAATAAAGTTACAGGATACAAAATCAACATGCAAAAATAAGTAGCATTTTTTTTTACTTAAACTTTTATAATCTTTTCTTTCCCTATTTTTGTGGTATCAGTAGTAATAGGTCCTTTTTTATTTCTGTATTTAATTATTTGAGATATTTTCTTTTTTAAATCTAACAATTTTCTTGATCTTTTTAATAAAACAAAATTTTATTTGCTTTTTCTATGGCCTTTAATTGTTATTTATATATAACTGCTGAAATCTTTATTCTTTTCTTATGTTTGATAATATTTAGTAGTTAATTGAGATAGATATTTTGAAAGAAAGAAAGAAAAAGAAAGAAAGATAAAAAGAAAGAAAAAAAAGAATGAAAGAGAGAAAAAAAGAGGAAGAGAAAGGGAGAGAGAACAGGAGTCTTGCTTTATTGCCCAGGCTAGAATGCAGTCTAGAAATGGGTATTAAAAACCTCTTTTATGCCAATAATTGTGCTTAACAATGGAGACAGGAAGGAATAAGGGAGGAAAATAACAAACAAGCAGCCAACCAATATTTCATTTAAACCTGTGAAATGCTATGCAATTACTGAGGAGTGATTTACTTCCAATTATGTAGTCACTTTTACAGTAAGTGTGATGTGGTACTGAGAAGAATGTATGTTTTGTGGATTTGGGGCGGAGAGTTCTGTAAATGTCTATTAGGTTTGCTTGGTCCAGGTCTGAGTTCAAGTCCTGGATATCCTTGTTAATTTTCTGTCTCATTGATCCGTCTAATATTGACAATGTGGTGTTAAAGTCTCCCACTATTATTGTGTGGGAGTCTAAGTCTCGCAAAGGTTTTGGCTATGATAATAAGTAGCATTTTTATATGTGAACAGTGAACAATCTGAAATAGAAACAAACAAAGTAATCCCATTTACAATGGCTACAAATAAAGTAAAACACCTAGAAATAAAGCTAACCAAAAAATGACAGATCTCTATAAAGAAAACTCTAAAATATTGATGTGAGAAATTGAACAGGACAAGAAAATGGAAAAATAGTCCATGTTAATGGATTGGAAGAATCAACACTATTAAAATGCCCATTCTATGCAAAGCAATCCACAGACTCAATGTAATCCCTATCAAAATGCCAATGATATTCTTCACAGAAATAGAGAAAATAGCCCTAACTGTATAGGGAACCACAACCACCAAGGACCAGTAGAAGCCAAAGACATCCTGAGGTGGGAAAGAAAAAAAACCTGGAGAAATCATATTCCCTGACTTTAAATTATAATACAAAGGTATAGTAACTAAAGTAGCATGGCCTGGCATAAAAATAGACACATAGACCAATGGAATAGATTAGATAAACCAGATACAAATCCGTGCATTTACGGCCAATTCATTTTTGACAAAGCTGCCAAGAACATACACTGGGACAAAGACAACCCCTTGACTATATATTGCTGAGAAAGCTGGATATCCAATCTGCAGAAGAGTGAAATTCGACCCCTGTTTCTCACCATACACAAATATAAAATAGGCCAGACATGGTGGCTCATGCCTGTAATTCCAGTGCTTTGGGAAGCTGAGGCAGGAGGACTGCTTGAGGCCTGGAGTTTGAGATCAGCCTAGGTAACACAGTGAGATGCAATCTCTAAAAAATAATTTAAAAAAATTATCCAGGCATGGTGGT